GATGCCGCTCACGGGGCGTGCCTTGATGCTCTCAAGGGTGGCACAAAACTTGTTGCACTCTTGTTGCATCACCCTCCATCGCTTTGAGAGGGACACCCACCCACGCTACCTTTGCATTTGATACGTCGCAAACTTCTTGCGTTCATGGTACTCACGATGAACAGAAGCCAAAAGGTTGATGCCTTTTGTTCGGCGCCGACCTTGGAGTCTTGCCCAATGTCCCTCCAACACTCACAAAGGAGTTTGTCCTCGGACGACGTGTTTGCCTTCGTCCGCTTGCTCTTGCCTTCGACTTCACCCCGGCTTGGTTGGCGAGCTCATCCTCGAACAAAGGCTCCCCGTTGAAGTCCATTTTATCCTCTTCCTCGAGGTCGTAGTCCTCCGGGAACTCGTGGTCAAGTGGGAACTGCCCAGGCCGACCTGATCATGCATGAAGGCGTCATCCATGCCAGCTTGATCATAGGTGGCCAGCGTGAATGGCGCTAGGCCATCAGGCTTTGGGTCTCCTCGGGATCGTAGGCAGCCGCGACGGCACCACCAGCGGAGGCAACAGCCACTACACCACCTTCGAAGATGATGTTCTCGATAATGAACGCTTGGTCGTTTCGTCGGCGGCGGCTGTCGGCATTCTGTCGAACAGGTTGCGGGCTCCGTGGAGCATGTCGGCTGGCATCTCCCGTGGGCGTTTCCTCGTGATGCATCGGCCACCGGTGTGGCGTTGAGGTCGATGGCCACGGGCGAGGGCCCGGGCGTGGATGGCGCCACCACGCTCACCTCCGACGAGCATTCCCCGGAGCAGCGGGAGGCTTGCGGGTAGACGTAGAAGCCGGGAATCGGCTGTGTGGCGGACGCGCGCAACGACTTTGGCAGCATCTTCTGAGGAAATGCCAACGAGCCCGTGCTGGCCAGGGTTCAACTTTAGGTAGATCAGGGCCTCCCTCGTTGCCCTGGTGACTTGGGCGTTGTTTTCCTCCTGCTGTGCGGCGGTGATGAGGGTGGCGATGGCCGCCGCTTCGTCCCTTGCGTCCTGCGCGTGCCTTCGGCCCTTCCTCTTGGCCGACTGCACGGCCCGCTCCTTGGCCATCTGCTTCTTCTTCTTCTTGGGTGGCGCCGCGGTCTTGCGGGGTGCGTAGAGCTTGCCTTTGGCGGAGGCGACGGAGGTGAAGCCGGATGAGGCGAGGCCGGCGGCGGCATCGAGGGTCGGCGCGTCATCCATGGCGAGCGGGCGGGAGGGTTCTGGGAAAGTGAAGGGAAATGATGGTAGTTGTGCCACCGATTGGCGGGACAGGGGGATGAGTAGGCGCGCGTTCGTTTCATGTCCACGCTAACGCAAATGAGACTCAAATTTAGACCTCGAATGGGTCGGAAGGCGGACGAAAAGCGGACGCCCGTCCGTTTGGGTCAGCGTGTTGGGCCAACTTTTTTGCCCGTGACGATCCAAATGAACACGCGCGGATGAAATGGGTCGACGCATTGAAGTTGCTACGAGGAAAGAGATTCCAATCCCTCTCGTGAGCAGCTCTTCGCCTTCACTGTGCCCGAGCCTCAGAGGCTAGTGACGTCTGAAAGAGAAAGCCAGAAGAAGAGCTTCAAGAGATGAACTGAGGTATCCATTCTGTATTGCAAGCATTTAGGTTTTGATCTGTAGTTATAGGTACACGCAGGGACGGAGCCAGGTTTTGACCATAGGGGGGGCAAAGACAATGGCATAAGAGACTTTTTTTCCCCTAGGTTAACCCGCTTTCCACTAATTTCTTAACAGAATTAACCAACATGTTATAGTGATAAGAGGAAAAAGAGATGCAAATCTGAGCACTGATAGATAGACAACAACGACATGAGGTAATCTATGAAATTTTATTAGTTGCATAATTTCTTATTAGGAGCTTGCATATCAATTAAATTAAGGGCCGGTTATTACCTTGGTTCTTGGCATCCTGTTATTCACCATTTCCTCTAAAGAGAGATGCTTGAAACATTAACCACCTGATGCAATCAATAGAGAATAATTATTAGATATAATGTATTAAGAACTTCTGAATGTTTGAAATTAAATAATTATTGCTTACCTCGTGGCGGCATCCATGGAAGTCTTTAGCCTCAGTTAGGATTAGGTTGGTTCCCTTCACAAGATTGCACAACATCATGTTTGGATGGTTGAGAACTTGAATCAACTTGTTTGAAAAAATTGTTAATCAATTCGGCTCTCTTCCTCTTCATGTATATACAAGCACAAATAAATAATTGGAAACTTTATAACTGATGATTCGACTCTCTTCCTCTTCCTCTTCACGTTTGTGTTTGGATCAAGATGTTTGTATGATTATACTTTTATAGTTTATATTAGAGGCATGAACTAATCCGATGTAAACATAAATTACCCTTTTTCTTCTTTAAGTTGTTGCCGCTCAACTGCGTGTCCGGGCTGCCGGCAACCGGCAGCGTGGCCGTGGATCGGCGCAACGGCGTCTGCCTATCCCGGTGTCCCCTTTCCCTTCTCCACTTCTTGATGGCGGCGCGATGGAGGGATTCGAGCGGAGCGGCGTGGAAACGAACAGACTAGCATCCATCTATCGATACGTGGCTTAGTGCGGTAATAACTAACAGTGCCTCTTTGCTTTTCACGATGGGCTGTACCAGTTAGATGGGATGAGGATTTCTCAAAAAAAAGTTACATGGGCTGAGGATTTC